CTGCTTGGCCTCCTCCAGTGTCATCCCGGCCGGGCGGTCCAAGTAGAAAACCTCTCCTAGGAGGGACAGGGGAGCATCAATGCTGAGCATCATCCGAAGCATCCCTGCCTGGAGCATCCCTGCCTGAGCTGAGCCCTGTGCCATGAGGGAGGACATGGGATGCCACTGATCAGGCACAGCACCTTCCTCAGGATCCCACCCCCCCCCCAGCCCCTGGCCCAGCACCCACCTTTGAGCGCCGAAGAGAAGCAGAAGGCATCAAAGCGATGCAGGTGCCGGTGGCGCGGGCCATAGCTGCGGATGCCCGGGGCAAGGTGCAACCCACCGCAGGGCTTGCGGGTCTGGCGTATGGGATACTGCACGGTGCCATCAGCCAGCCAGCCCGCGTTGCACCAGTCCAGCCCCTCGCTCCAGGCCTGGAAGAGCTGGTTGAAGGTGGCGAGGATGGCGCCTTGCTCCTGGCACACTTGCTCGGCTTCGTGGAAGTTGAGCCTGTACTGCCCACGGGGAGGCTGGTAGGGGAACACGATGCCTGGGGGGGGCAGACGGGGTGTTCAGCCAGTTCCGTGGGCAGCTCACCTGCCCTGCGTCCAGCCCCAGCAGGAGCCACAGGGGTCCCTGACCCATCCCAAATTCAGGCTCTGGGACAGGGACCACCCCAGAGTGGCACTGTCCCAGGCTCTGGCACGTGGGAATGGGGCCGTTCTGGGCACGCAGCCACCAGCGGCGAGTTGCCAGCGACATCTGGTGGCACGGGGACACAGGAGCTCTGTCCTGGGGACACGCAGACCACCTTCATGGTGACAGCACCAGCACGTACAGGGATGAACAGACTATGATGATAACAGGGATGCAGGGACCACCACCACACAGACGGTATGGAGCACAGTCCCGGGGACACACACGTAGTGGTCCCAGGAAGGCATAGACCACCCCTGTGGGGATGGACAGACCATCGGCATGGGGATGCACAGGACACAATGCCCAGCATCATGGGGACGTACGGGCCAGGATTGCAGGGACACATGGACCACCGACATGGGGGTGCATGGACCACTGTCACGGGGACGGTTGGACTGTGGGAACATGTGAACCACCAGCACCATAATCAGAGGGACCGGTGGGGACAAGCCACCACAGGAGGGAGGTCCGGAGGTCAAGGGGGTGGGCAGGGGCACAGCAAGGGGGACATCTCCCCAGCTCTGAGCTTGGCAGTGGAGCCAGGGCTGAGTCAGGTCCCTCATGGCAAGTGAGCAAGAGGGGTTGGACCAGTCATCAAGGTTCATCACAAGATGCATGAGGACACCCAGAATTGGGAGGCAAGGGGACGGCTGCACATGATGCAGCACAGTGGGAAGATGGGTGGGTAGAGGCAGAAAATGCTGCAACCACGGGGTCACCCACAACTCTGATCTCACAGTAGCATCCTCAGCATCCCAGCTGGGCAGACTGCTCTGGCCTCACTCAGTGCTGAGACCACACAGTCAGACAGCCCCAAGCCACCACCCATCACACTGAGCATCCCAGCTCCTTTCTGCCCACAACTGGGCTCCCCAACCCCTCTGCCTTGCTACCTCCCCCAAGGAGGGGGTGCCCCGGGAAGGCCAGGCTCACTGCCTTTGCACAGGGGATGATGCAGTCCCCACCGCGCCCCCACCTTGCAGCCGAAGGTCCACCACATCGCTCTCGTCCTCCAGCCCATCAATGACCTCACAGCGGTATTTGCCATCATCCTGCAAGCGCACATCACTGACGACCAGCGAGGCCTCACGCCGGCCAGTCTGGTGGAGGTGAGCACGGCCCCGGAAGTCCCCAAAGGCCAGGTAGGTCTTGCCAATGGCCACCAGCACATCCTGCTCCTTGGTGTAGTCATCCCGCAGCTTGGACCACTTGATGCGGATCTTGCGCTTGGCCTCTAGGTCAGGCTCATAATGATAGTGACAGGGCAGGGTGACATTGGCACCACTGGAGCTGTAGACGGGGTCTTTGGGGGTCTCCACCACCAGCTTGGCCCCGTTGAAGGAAACCACTGGGGACAGGGAGGGAAGGCACTAAGTGTGGGTCAGGGTCCAGGACTGGGCAGCATCCCCAAATCTCCCTCCCTCCAGCCACGTCCGCTTCTGCCTGAGCATCCCATGAGCATCCCCCAAGCATCCCTGGAGCACCCCTACCTGCTCCTCTGAGCCTCACTTTCCCCCCCACGAGATGGGTCCCAGCCCTATCCCAGAGGCAGGGAGGGACTTCAACCCCTTGCACCAACCTGCCAGCCCTAATTTCCGTCAGCCCTGCCAATCCCCGATATACCTTTCTCCTGCCCGTTGCCCTTGTCGTTCATTATGTGGTTGTAGTAGAAGCCGTTGTAGAAGGGGTGGTAGGAGCCACTGGCCAGCTGCAGCAAAGTGGCCTCCAGGAGCAGCGGGAGCACCAGCATGGCTGGGGACCGAGGCCGAACCCTGAGCCCAGGCTGTGGAGGGGGAAAGGGATGTGGTAACACCCCAAAATAACCAGAAGCGCCCCAGTGCTGCCCAGCACATGGCAGCAGGCAAACCCCATCGCAGGGATGCAAGGAGAGGGGTGGGAAGAGCCAGCAGAGTGGCTTGTCTGCCTGCAGGGGAGGGTGCAGGCAACTTGAGACCTGCCCCACAACCGGGGCTCCCAATCCCCTCCATCCTCATCCTCCCGCCTGGGTCACGCTGCGCACTACCGCGATCACTGCTGACACCCGTTGGGTCTTGTGGAGCACCCAGCACGGAATGGGGAGCTGAGACCAAGCCAGCGATGGGGCAGCGGGGGGAAACAGGATCCCAGGACGTCCTTTGAACAAGGAGCACTGGGAAAACATCACACAGGGGGTGCAGCGGGAGAGAAGTGGCCGAGCCCTGCTGTAAGTCGCAAGCTCAGTTTACAGAGGCAGGCGAGGGTGCAACCCAGCGGCGGTGGGGGGGCGAACGCTC